CTTAATTTTTTTTTACCGTGGTGTTTTTATGTTACAGGCCTCTTCAACTGACGTCAGAGAGGCAAAAAAATCATGCATGCCAGCTTTGCGCTTTCGGTATCGGCTTAGCTGCGATCGTCATCATTGTCATCGTCGCCGTCGTCTCGTCGCTGTTACACGTCATCACATCAGGACGCTCAGACAACAGAACCTCTAGTCTTAGTCGCTATAGAAAGACGCTCGTCTAACGAAAAATGTTACAATGTTAATGTAAATATTGCTAGTGAGAACAACATGTGACATAGTTTGGCCAAGTAGTTGGCTGGCGCCATCTTGTAAAATATACGCTTGACCAGTCTTTCATGTTTTGCATCACACACTGTTTCTACTTCTTTGATAATAATAGATCAGTAAGAACTTTCCATGACCGCGTAATAATATTTGTCACCCGTATGATTCGTTACATGTCACGTTAATTAGTTATTGTTGCTGTTTACTCGTAGCAGAACAGGTTGAGTTAAGCAGTAAGGTTTGTGAAATTGCACTCTAAACGTGTCAATAAATCATCTTTGCTAGCTAAAAGACTGTGATTTTTTTCTGTGTCTAATAACTACGTCGTCGTGCTGATTTCTTCTCCTGCCGCCTGGACATTTTTACTGACGAGTCTTAATCAGATTCTAGCTCCAGGGTCAGAGCGATTATTTAACGTAACAGAATTCACGGGCCACGGCACACACACACGATAGGTTACGAGGACACACACGCGCGGCGCCGGCACACACACACACGCGCCCACCACACACGGCACACACACACCACACACACACACACACACCACACACACACACACACACACATGTGTAATGGTAAGCATCGGACGTCCGGATTCTGCCATGAACGCTCCTCTCACTCACCGTCATTGCAAGAATAGCAATTTGCTTTGCTTTCTATCTGCTCTAATCTCTCTCGTCTCTCTCTCTGTCTCTTATGGGCTTCTCTTCTCTCTCTCTTTCTCTCTCTCTCGCTTCTCTCTCGCTGTTCCTATCGCCTTTTTCTTTCTCTCTTCTCTTCTCTCTCTCTCTCTCACTCTTCTCTCTCTCTCTCTCACTCTCTCTCACACTCTTCTCTCTCTCACTACACTCTTTCTCTCCCTCTCTCTCTCTCGGCTCTGCTTTCGTCTCTCCGTCTCTCTCTCTCGCTCTTTCTCCACTCCCTCTCTTGCGCTCTCTTTCTAATCTCTTTCGCGCGCGTCTCTCTCTCTCCTCATCGTTGCTCTCTCTCTCCACTCCCTTTCTCTCTGGCTTCGCTCGATCTCTCGCTTTCTCTCTCTCTCTCTCTCTCTGGCTCTGCTCTCTTTCTCTCTCTGTCTCTATTCGCCGCTCTCTCTTGCTCGCTCTCTCTCTCTCGGTCTCTCTCTCTCTCTCTCTCTCTCTCTCTCAGTGGTCTCTACGCGGCTCTCTCTCGCTCTCTTTCTCTCTCTCCACTTTCTCTTTCTCTCTCTCTCTCTCATCTCTCTCTCTCTTCTCTCTACGCTGTCTCTCTCTCTCTGTGTGTGTGTGTGTGTGTGGGGTGTGTGTGTGTGGTGTGTGTGTGTGTGTTGTGTGGGGTCGTGCGCGTCGTGTGTGTATGTGTGTGTTATGTTGCGTATATCTGTAGTATTGTATATTTTTCTCTCGAGATCAATTAGTTTAGAAATAAATATTCCAGAACGAATTAAATGGTGCAATACTGCCAGGAGGGGGGCGGGCCAGCTAATCTTTCTGGAGCTTCCACTACACATCACATCTTATCCACCATCGTTCCCTCCCCGTATTCTCCGATCCATTTCATGCAGAGGCGTAAATCCGTACCGAGGAGTGGGGGAGATAATCCACGATAGCAGGGGGGCGAAATTAACCTTGGCTGCCGCAAGCTGGCCCGCTTGCCGTAGGCATGCCAGTGCTAGGGGGTCTGGGGGCATGCCCCCCCCCCAAAAAATGAAATATTTAAGCCATGCATTTTCCTGCAATCTGAGGCATACTGTGGGCCATATATTCTCATGTCTGATGACACTATCTCAACCCTAAACTCAACACTACAAGTTAGGATTCAAAACACTTTTCATGACTTTTCAGAGAGCGTACACAGTTATAGCTAGGTTACTATATAGTAATAATACATGTATTAAAACACAGGTAAGAATTGCAATTTCTCACAATTGCACGTGTTTTTGTATGTTTGCAACCTACTTTTTGTCTATTCTTTTTTTCTCTTTTTTTTTGAATATCAGGGAGATATTTGTACAGGCCATCCCCCCTCCTTCAAGAGCGGGGGGATGCATCCCTCTTCCCCCCGGGATTTACGCCCCTGATTTCATGCAATCTTCGGCCTCGACAGTAACCACCATCGCCTCTCCATCTCCCCACTGGCTAACATGTGTGTCAATGACATGCAGCATACGGAGATGGGTTGCTGGACACTGATAATTTAAAATGAAATACCTCAAACTACGGTCCCCATTCGACTGCGCGACTGTTTTCCAGGCATAAATGTGGTGTCCGTGAGTAAATTCGCGATAGCTTTTAAAAACGCCGGACAACATATGACAAAACTCTCATGTAACACAGCTGAAGTACATGGCTATCTAGCTTTAATAGTACTAATGCCACTTGGTAGAAAATAGTCGAAATAATCATTTTCAGCTCCTAAAGTATGTGATCCGATGAAAGATTTTTGTATTCTCCTCTTTTATACGCAAAATCAACTTGGCCAATCACGGGCGGATACACATTTTTCTTACCGCCATCTATCGGTAGCCAATATCGTCGCATTTTGCTGTCATTTGTTATGGTTTTTACTGTTTACGTGACAATATGTCATGTTTGATTAATCGTTCACTCATGTTATCTTGAGCGATAGAGGCAGTAATATTAGAAAAATATTCTATTTGTGCACTGATATAAGCAAAATAGTCGGTCTCGGACTTCACCCCTTTCCTAGATTTCTACCCTGTCTCTAGACTCTACTTTCTAGGACATTGACGGTAGGGACCTACCTATTTCAGTATTTGTTTGTAGGCCCCTATGCAGAGTGAGAGTGCTATGACTATGAGGACAATATAAGTTATAATAACCCGTCTAGGCGAACTCTATCCTGCAAAATGGCTGGACATAGTCATTATTGTGCCGCTATTCCTTGCACAAATTCTAGAAATAACAATAAAGACCTCTGTTTTTTCAACTTCCCAAAAAAAGACATCGAAAGGTAGGGTATTGGGTAATATTTATTACATGGTTTGTGAAATGAAAACAATTAAGAATGGCCACGTCATTTTTAGTCTAGGACCCCTAGCACATTAGTACTACATGATGGTAAATAAACACGAAATGTATTTACTAGTACTACCAAAGACAAAGTCACAATGTTTCTCTACTCTCTTTCACTTGTAAATGCCGTTCAAATGTTCTGTTCCGGAAAACCGGGATCGTCCCGTTTTTCACGACCATAATGTCTATGATCAATCCTGGTCGGAAATTAAAAATTTGCTCCATTGTCCATGTTTTCACAGTGCGTACAGTATAGTAATACAAGATTGTTTATTTGTGCTAAACAATTCGATTGTTCACACGAGCTGACTCGTGTTTCGCGGGGAATGTGTTAATTGGCTTAGGCTGGCCATACGCTAACAACAGTTGTGATGTTTTTCTTTAAAAGGTGTAAACGCTGGATTATTAACACAAGAAGGACAGACATAAATGTGGGCAATGTAAAATACAGGAGTTTGTGTGAGGAACATTTCGATGCGTCACAGTATATGAATCCAGCTGACAAGGGGGTTGCAAGACCTCGTAAAAGGTTGATGCCAAATGCAGTACCATTGATTTTCAACATCCCGAATCCACCACGAAATCCAGTACCGAGAAAACCGCCAACAAAACGAGTTCTTCCTCAAGCTGCGGCCTCTTCCAAGAAACCAAAAGGTAGCAGTTAATGTCTTTGTATACTTTGTAGGCAGTGGGATCAAGTCTGCCCCACCCCACCACGCTCACACAATGTAGCACATATCTATCTATCTCTTTCTCTCCCTCTCCCTCTCCTTCTCCCTCTCACCCCTCTCTCACACTTTCCCCCGCTCTCTCTCTCTCTTTCTCTCTCTCTCTCTCTCTCTCCCCTCTCCTCTCTCTCTCCTCTCTCTCTCTCTCTCTCTTCTCACACTCTCCCCGCTCTCCTCTCTCTCTTCCCTGCTCTCTCCTCTCTCCCCTGCTCTCTTCTTTCTCTCTCTCTCTCTCTCTCCTCTCACTCTCTCGCTCTCTCTCTCTATATATATATATATATAAATATAGTCATATTAGAATATAGATATAGATATAGATATAGATATAGATAGAGAGAGAGAGAGAGAGAGAGAAAGATATATATATATAGATGTATAGATAGATAGATATATGTAACACTATATATAACCTCATATATATGGTGTTGTGTATATATATATATATAATAATATATGTGTGTACTGTAGTGTGGTGGCAGCAGACTTGATCCCACTGCCAATGCACATAATGTAAATTTTCCTGTTTTCTCTGCCGGATAGTAGGTCAGGGAGTGAGCTGACTTGTGCTGGCCACACTGATTTTCGCCATTTTTGTTGTCAGTTATTAACATTGAGTGCCCAGTTGTAGGACCGACAGTCTTGGACAATATCTCACCACCCTGCCTAACAAATCACATTCAGTCCAACAGGTCCGACGTTTTTTTTTTCAACCAACATTCATTTTCTAGGAAATGAGCAAGCAACAGAAGATGTACCTGTGCCTGCCTGTCTTGGTGTATCTGGAGCTACACCAAATAAGCTGACTGTCCCAGCAACAGCAAAAGAAATTGAGCTTAGAAAGAAACTCAACATCTGCAGAGTGAAAAATTATAGATTGTCCAAAAAATTGGAAGCAATGAACAAGCTCGTGGAAGTACAAAAAGCCAAGACGTCCGATATGCAATCTGTCATTAATGGGGTTTCCAAATATCTAACTGGTCTTCCCCTAGACTTTTTTATTGCTCAGTTGAGAATGGCAGATGCGAAAAGCAAAAAAAAAAGATGGAGTCAAGAAATGAAGGCACTCTGTCAGTCATTGCATGATAAAAGTCCTAGTACGTACAGCATGTTAAGCAGCAAATTTGCATTACCAGGCATCCGCACTCTAAAAAGAATGTCTAAACACTGCAAATCAGATGGAATCTAGAAATGAAGACACTCACTCTGCCTGTCATTGCACTCTAAAATTCCTAGCATGTACAAATGTAAGTAAGGAATTTGTATTACCTTCCATCCGTACTTTACATTGAATGTCTGGGAAAGTGCATATCCCTGCAGGTTTCCCGTTGATATTGTTAGTGTGTGATCTAACATATCAAATAAATTAATGTGTGCAAATACTAAATATATATATATAGACATTTTATTGTAGTGCATCATGTTGCAACTATATTAAATTACTTTACTTTATTAATTACTTTATATTCTGCTGTGTATGTCATGCCTTTGCTAGGCCATTCGTCTAAAAATTCAAATTTATTTCATGATATTCCGAGATGGGAGTTGGGCGGCAGCAATTTCTCGTATAAACTTTTACAAGTGACTTTTCTGCGCTGAACTGTATATGATGACACATGTATTTAGTATATGGTTACTGTATACAGTTCAGTGCTCTCATGAGAATTCGTGGCATGCATGTGTGTTAGCTTGTGTAAAAGAGGGAGAGCTGAGAGAGAGAGGGGCAGTGATAGAGAGAGGGAGAGAGAGAAAGAAAGAGAGAAGAGAAATAGGCAGAGAAAGAGAGACAAATGAAAGAGAAAGAAATATATCAAAAAGAGAGATGGTGAGAGAGGGGTGGAGAATGAATGACAGAAAAGAAAGAGGAGAGAGAGAGAGAGAGAGCAAGCGAGAAGGGGATGAAGAGAAATGATATTAAAGCAGAGAAATAATAAGGACGGAATGGATACTAGATCTAAAAATGAGCTATGGTACAATACATTTTGCAAAAAAAGAATAACATGAAAACGTCACAAGTATTACCTATTAATAATGTAAAACCATTGTTTAATTAGGAATTATAAAATATAGTATCCACAATTTTTGAGATTTATTCAAATCTCACAATGCATGCAAATTCAACATGCAATCCAATATCAAGATTTAACAAGTACAAATGCACAATGTACACACATTTACAAGTTGCCATTCCGAGCTTTAGCAGGGTCGTAGTTTGGGGAGCGGGAGGCAAGGGGGAAGTTGCCCCCAGACTAATGCGAACAGTATATTACATTTCCAACACAGAAAACGCATCGTTAACTGTCTACCCATAGCACAAAATGCCCCCCCCCCTTTTCTCAGGTAAAAAAATTGAGGTTAGCTACTTCCCTGCATATCTTTGTAACATGAAGAGTTCATAATAGAATTCTGTATATTTTTCTATAATGGACTCTTTGTAATATTCAACTACCAGCTTTGCTGAACTCTACGACTAAATATATTCAAGCTAACATAGTCTTCATTGACGCGCGTCGGAATTTCTTCTGAATGACGTCACGAGTACTTCGGTATCGTCATACGTTCTTCGACAACGGATCGTGGCGACAGCGGCGATGGCTATGATGATGACGATGATGACAGCTAGACCCACACTCAGTGCAGGAGCTGGGAGGCAGATGTCGTTACGGTGACTTGTGTGGGAAGCTGGAAAAACAATCCGTGAAAGGTTATCAGCTATCAATGTATGTGTTTTTTTTTACACATAATTACGTGTCGCGACCTTGCTTATACGTTCTAATGTCGTCGAGAATGTGTTTAATTTTTGCGCGTTATATAGGTATCCTGTGATTTTAATTTCAAAATAATTTACCTTGGCTTGTAGGAGAAGAGTTAGTCGTGCGCACTCGGATCTCGCCACTGAGTGTCAGCGTCGGAACATCGCTCTGTATAAATTCTTCCTCCGTCTCACGCTTCCTTCTCCTGACGGGTGAACACTGAATCACGCGGTAAACGAATATATTAGTGACGTACAACTATGCAACAATAGTATAGGCCCAACACGTAGTGTAATCTGCATAACCTCATAAATAGTAGTCTTCAAAAGTCCAAGGGACTATAACGAAGACGGAGAGACAAGTTGATCGATAGATCAACACTGCGGGTTGTAGTGGAAAAAGCTGCAAATTTGCAATTTACTAAAATGAAGAGAGAGAATTCCAATACGGAATGACAGAAACAAAGAAGCTAAACTTTAAAGGATGCTTAGAAGATGGCACATGCCGAAAGCAATGATCACGCTCAGTTAGATGATCGAATGCCAATCTTCACCTGACCCTGATTAATTTGAGGAAAATATGCATTTTATGGATAGTGGAAATCGTAGAGGGCTGTCATACCGTGTCATCGCAATCAGATGCCAAGAAACAAGCGAACGCCTGGCATTGGAAGCGCACTATGTCTGCATCCGGGAACTTGAAAGCTCTGAATGCGATCCACTTCTCGACCGGACTGTCTCCTCCCACGCTCTTCTGTACATTCTCCGTCTGGATGATGTCATCAACTAGACCAGAGTTGACACATCTAAAAATGGAAAAAAATACGAACATTCTTTATCTACTTGATAAAACGGTGAATGATAACGTTTGACCACAATCGACTACCATTTTGTTCAACATATATATCACTGAGATCAAATGAAACTGTGTATACTTACTCAGCACTGTCAACTAGTTGCACCTGGAAGCTCTGATCAGCTGCACTGAATGCGCGGCAGTCATAGAGAAGGATGTTCTGATAGATACCTGCACGACGAGAGAACGATGTCAGAGACTTAGCAAAATTACACACGCATGTAAGGTGATACTACCTGTAAATTATATATTCATGAATCGATTGATTAAATCAGCATTGCACTTACTGGCATCTTCTAAGCTAGCAACGAGCAGCAGAGATTCGCCGATGTCGACGAAGGTTGCTGGTGTCGTCTTGCCGTCATTGTCGCTGCCTTCCCACACCGTGAGGCGAATCTGCGGCGGCGGAGGCGTGTTGTGCACGAGGGCGGTGGACAGCTGTCCCACCTCTAACTCATTAGCGCTGATTGTCACCGACATGTCAATGTCGTAGTGACAGGTGACAAGGAACGCCTGGTCGTCGGCCTTGATCAGGTTTTGGCGTTGTGCGACGTTGACAAACACCTGATACGTCTTCTCCTATAGTATAGAGATCATAAGAGCCCCTTAATGCAATAGTGGGCTAGGTGCATTTTTTGTCATTTTGAGTATAGGTGCCCAGAATATGAATGAGTAAAGTGATATCTTCATGGGGCATAGTGGTGTAAGTCAAAATAATATTTCAAAATTTCGAGACATATAGGGGGCAGTGTAGTATTGCACTTAGGATATTACCGCTTACAGCTAACAACTTTAAATGCCGTCTCCTAACGAAATGACTAAATAATTACACATCTAGGCCCACTATTTGCATTAAGAGAGCTATTTAAAGATGTTAAATATATAAAGGGGTTGCACATGCAATTTTACTCTATTTTAAAAGGTACCATATATGTGTGTATGCATCGCCCACGCTGACTGACATACTCTGCCTTATCATCTCTCTGCTCGTTATATTTATATTAATTATCTATATACGCAAATATACACTATGCGAGCATGCATGAACGCGCGCACGCACGCACGCACGCACACACAACACACACAGGATATATATATATATATATATATATATATATATATATATATATATATATATATATAATATATTTACATAAAGGAATACCTACCGATGTGTTTTCCACGACACCACAGCCCCAATGATCAAACTTCAGCACGACGAATCTCGATCCGGTTCCCCAAATCCGACAATTAGCGTCGGAATGAAAACGATCGGCGTACACTTCACCGTAGAATGGGTCGCTGAAGAATAATTCCATCTCAATATTGTCTCCTCGACACGTTATCTCATTACCTGCAACAAATAACGCGTAAAATATTAATTACCAAATTGCGCACGCACACAAGCACGCACGTACGCGCACGTACGAACGCACACAAGCGCGCACGTACGCACACACCCAAACACCGAGAATATACATATGTATTTCCCACTTACTCATGAGCTCAATCGCATGCACGCTTGTTCCATAGTGCACTAAAGTCATCAGTATAACCAGTAACATATTTGCTTATAGAAACGCCTACACTTGCACAGCATGCGAACGTATATTTGGGGTACGTATTTGCGAACGTATATATGGGGTAAAATGGCAGTCTGACGTGCGAATACGTGCACGGTGGTGGATTAATTTTCTAAATGGCAGAAGCACGGGAAAACTAAGCAGAATGAGGCGTATCTGAGAATTCAATATGCACTGGAACCAGTCTGAATAGCTTGGAAATACGCAAAAGTAGTGTATGTGTTTGAAATAAACAGTGTAGATTATCTACGGGCCTGTAACTAATTATGCTAATCAGTAAATCAATCACCATACTTGTTCTTTAATCAATCCTATAAAGGGTTTGGGTACCTGCGTCGATCTGTTTTCTCACAAATATACGACCACGATCCTTTCCTAAGCACTCGCATTTATTAGAGTCATCTCCGTGGATACGGGTCTGGGCACACATATCTCACGAGACCCGTACCTGGATTGACTCTACGATCTATTGTTGAGCTCGCGTGCCACCTGCCCGTGTGTGTTTGTAGGGGAATGAGAGCCTCTGCCTCTTTCCTAGCAACGCCTTTGTGCAGCGTAGGCAGCAGGGACGAGGTCGCGTGCGGTTCGCATCTCATCGCGGTAAACATCTGGTTACTCCAAGATCTAGCTGAGACCCGTTTGCGCCTAGACCTCGCTTGACCGCGTGCACATATATATAGCAGACGAGAAGCGAGAGTCAGAATCACAAGTTCCCGGACCTCGATCACGATCGACAAACTCGAGAAGGTAAGTGCAATCTCTAAAGTTGCTGTTATTTGTTCGTTTAGACTCATATACGTGCAATATGTTTAAGTTAAATCCCTGCCCGTGCCTATGTGGCATATAGGGCGGTGCCTATCTCCGTTTCCAATATGTTAATTTCTTATCCCTCTTAGATATGCCTAGGTGGCACATAAGGCAGTGACAAGACAAGAATGCAATAATGTATTAAGTTTAGTCGGGTAGAATTCTACCGATTTTTACTGATATCGTCAGCTAGCGGTTTCTCCTATTCCATATATATATTCTATTCTCCTATGCAATTTTCTAGAGAAGACTTCGAGTAGAATTCTACTGATTTTTTACTTTATCTTTTGAGTTTCTCCATTTGCATTCTCACGTAAATTTTTGATGATTTGTTAATCTGCTATCGTTATTATGCCTGTGAATAACGATGTCTGTCTGTGATTTTGTTTAGGTAAATACACACAGCAAATCATGAAGCTCTGTATTGCGATATTTGTGACGGTGTTCGTTGCTACGGGAATCCGCTATGGGTCTACAGCGTTCACGCCAGCATTGATGGGTAGGTGTATAAATGACGAATTTCACATTTTCAACTATCTATTTCTGCTGAACTTATCTTATAGTATATATATATATATATATATATATATATATATATATATATTAGTATATATATATAATATATATATTAAATTTATATCATTATATATATATATATATATATCGTATATGCGTGCTCACAAACATGTGCGTGTGGGCGCCATTGCATAGGTACATCGGAAAATGTATTAGTATATGCGCGTTTTCATTCATGCTACATACCTACCATGCATTCACCGATGATAGCACGATATAATATAATATAATATAATATAACATAACATAACATAACATACTGTAATATCAATATATAAATCGATGATAACTTATTCATTCTGTGTTTCGTGCGTTTTACAGAGAAGGTGATTACATGTCGGGGCGATGCGACAGACGTGACGCTCATGTTTGACTCGGGTTTCAATGGTGAGGTATTCACGACGGGATTCCACACCGACAGCAGATGTCGGGCCAGAGGGACAGGAACGGAATCTCTCACGCTACAGATCGACTACAACGAATGCGGAGTCTTCCAAAACACCGCCGTACGTTTACTCTAGTTAACTATCAAGACAGCTATTATATACTGTATAAAATAGTTTATATATAATGTGTACTGTATATAATAGTTTATATACTGTAGCTCTGTAACATCAAGAGCTAATAATACCTAATATATATAGGCGTATATATATACCTATATATATATATATATAAGTATATATGATATATGCCTATTATATATATAGGTGTTATTCATAACATTATGAATATATCGGTCCTCTTATCCGTATAGAAATGAATTATAGTGTTATGGTGTAGATGATGTAGAGTACAGAATGAATGATAGTATTACAGTATAGGTTTGTTCACGCATAACATGCATGCTCGCGAATAATCGTCACATGACCAAGCATGTAACTGTTGCGCATGTTTGTGATAAGTATATATATCTATATATATATATATAACAAAATGCATAGATGCTGGTTTGTTATGAATGCGATTCCCACGTACATAGCATTTCATTTTACAGAAACAACGTGAATGCGCGAAATAGCGGTGATTCTTGATCGTAATTTTTACTCAAAATTTTACCCTATAGGACCAAACGTACATGGTATTTGTCAACGTCGCACAACGCCAAAACCTGATCAAGGCCGACGACCAGGCGTTCCTTGTCACCTGTCACTACGACATTGACATGTCGGTGGACAATCAGCGCTAATGAGTTAGAGGGTGGCGACAGCTGTCCACCGCCCTCGTGCACAACACGCCTCCGCCGCCGCCAGATATCGCCTCAACGTGGTTGGAAGGCCGACAGATGACGGTCAAGACGACACCAGCAAACGCTTTCGTCGACATCGGCGAATCTGCTGGCTGCCAGTTGCTAGGCATTAAGAAGATGCCAGTAAGTGCAAATGCTGATTTAATCAATCGATTCCATGAATAATTAGATTTACAGATAGTGACGTATCCACCGTGTACCATGGGATTTGCTAAGTCTCTGACATCGTTCTCTCGTTCGTGCAGTATCTTATCAGCAACATTCTCTCTATATGACTGGCCGCGCCTTCAGTTGGCAGCTGATCAAGGAGCTTCCAGGTGCAACTAGTTGACAGTGCTGAGTAAGTATACACAGTTTCATTTGATCTCAGTGATATATATGTTACAAAATAGAAATTACAATTACAAATGAACAAAATAGTAGTTGATTGTGGTAAAACGTTATCATTATTACTGCTTTTATCAATAGTAGACTAAAGAATGCTTTTGTATTCTTTTCCATTATTAGATGTGTCAACTCTGGTTCTAGGATTGACATCATCCAACAGGAGAATGTACAGAAGAGGCGTGGGATGGAGACCAGTCACCTGGTCGAGAAGTGGATGCCGCATTCAGAAGCTTTCAAGTTCCGGTGCAGCGACATAGTGCGCGCTTCCAATACGCCAGGCGCTCGCTTTGTATTCTTGGCATCTGATTGGATGACACGGTAACTGCAACAGCCCGTCACGATTTCCACTATCCATTAAAATGCTATATTTCCTCAACATTAATTCCAGCGGTCACGGTGAGATTGGCATTCGATCATCTAACTGAGCGGTGATCATTGCTTTCGGCACTGTGCGATTATTCCATAAGCATTTTTTAAGTTTAGCTTCTTTGTTTCTGTCATTCCGTAATTGGCAATTCTCTTCCTTTCTCGTTAGTAAATTGCAATTTCGAGTTTTATTCAACTACAAACCGGCAGTGTTATCTATCGATCAAAGCTTAGTCTCTCCGTCTTTCGTTTAAGTCCTTGGACCTTTTGAAGTATTACTATTATAGGAGGTTATGCAGATTATACTAGCGTGTTGTGCCCTATACTAATTGTTGCGTAAGCCTGTACGTCACGTAATTTATTCGTTACGCGCGTGCTTCAGTGTTTTCACGTCAGGAGAAGGAAGCGTGCAGACGGAGGAAGGAATTTCTACAGAGGCGATGTTCCGACGCTGACACTCAGAGTGCGAATCCGGAAGTGCCGCGACACTAATGCTTCCCTGACAAGCCAAAGGTAGGCTCCTGAGATTCTTAATACACTTACAGTATCACGAAACAGTATTACATTTGTATATATGTGCGTGTGTTCTGTGTGGTGTGTGGTGTGTGTGTGGTGTGTGTGTGTGTGTGTGTGTGTGTGTGTGTGTTGTGCGCGCCGCGTGCGTCGCTCATGCGTGTGTGTGCGCGTGCGTTGCGTGGTGTGCGCGCATGTGCGCGATGTGATGTACTCGGGGCGTGTCGGATACGATCTAATATATTTTATCCAGTTTTGTAAACGGAACCCGATTAAACTTGTTCCAATATCAATTAAGCAATTAAATATAATTTATCCATCATTGATTAAACATAGTATCGGAACTGAATTTGTAGTATTTTAATAGGTTTTGGTTATATTTCAATTATATGAGCATTGAATGAAGCGTCAACATACGTGGATATCGGTGCACGATATAACAGAACAAATGGAAATTTATTTTACTCAAAGCAATATTTTTATTCTCTTCAACTGTTTCTTTTCTCTAGTAATTCTATAATCTATCATCTTACCTTTCGGACGTGCCGCTCGGACAAATTAAATATCCTTTTTTATTTAACCCGTGGCTGTTTTTATGTTACAGCCTCTTCAACTGACTCAAGAGGAAAAAATCTGCATAGCCAGCTTTCCGGGCTTTCGGTATCGGCTTAGCTGCGATCGTCATCATTGTCATCGTCCGCCGTCGTCATCAGTCGCTGCTTACACGTCATCACAGCAGACGCTCTCAGACACCAACACCTTAGTCTTAGTGCCTCTTAGAAGACGCTCGTCTATACGAAAATGTACAAAACTGTAATGTAAAAATATGTAGGAGAACAACTGCTTGAATAGTTTGCAGAGTAGTTGGCCTTGGCGCCATCTTGTAAATATCACGCCTTAGACCATCTTTCATGTTTGCATCACACATGTTAGGCTACCCTTCTTGATATAATAGATCAGTAAGAATTTCCATTGACCCGGTTATAATAATTTGTCGACCCGTAATGGAATTGTTTACATGTCACAGCTTAATTAGTTATTGTTGCTGTTACTGCTAGCAGAACAGGTTGAAGTTTAAGCAGTAAGTTTGTGAAATTGCACTCTAAACGTGAATAACTCATCTTGTAGGCTAAAACTTTGTATTTTTTCTTGTTCTATAACTACGTTCGGTTCGTGCTGCGATTTCTTTCCTGCGCCTGACATTTTATTACTGACGGCAGTCTTGGGAAATCGATTCTAGCTCAGGGTCAGACGATTATGTAACGATAACAGGATCACGCACGCACACACACACGGAAGTACGAACACACACGCGCCGCGCGCACACACACACACGCCACACACACGCACACACACACACACACAACACACCACACACACACACACACACCCACACACACATTGTATGTAAGCATCGAACGCGTCGATTCTGCATGAACGCTCCTCTTCACTCACCGTCATTTGCCAAGAAATAGCAATCTTTTGCTATTCTATCTCTCTCTCTCTCTCTCTTCTCTTCTCTGCTCTATGGCTTTCTCTTTCTCTCTCTTTCTCTCTCTCTCGTTTCTCTCTCGCTTTCTATCGCTTTTCTTCTCTCTTTCTCTCTCTCTCTCTCTCACCTCTTCTCTCTCTCTCTCACTCTCTCTCACACTCTCTCTCTAGGCCGCGTCTCTCACTCACTCTTTCTCTCCCTCTCTCTCTCTCGCTCATCTTTCTCTCTCTCTCTCTCTCTCTCGCTTCTCACTCCCTCTCTCGCTATCTCTTTTCTCTCTCTTTCGCGCCGCTCTCTCTCTCTCTCACTCGTTCTCTCTCTCTCACTCCTTTCTCTCTGGCTCGCTCGCATCTCGTCGCTTCTCTCCTCTCTCTCTCTCTAGATGTGCGGCTCTCTCCTCTTTCTTCTCTGCTGTCTCTAATCGGCTCTCTCTTGCTCGCTCTCTCCTCTCTCTTCTCTCTCTCTCTCTCTCTCTCTCTCTCTGTCTTCTATCGCCGCTCTCTCTCGCTCTCTTCTCTCTTACTCACTTTCTCTTTCTCTACTCTCTCTCTCTCTC